GATCGTGATGAAAAGGAAGGTCCTAAGCGGGTCTTGAGAGGCCAACGAAAGGCTAGCTGCAGTTCTGACAGTACAGAAACACTAACAAGCCGAGAAGGGATCGCGCATTCCCCAGCTAAACGTAATCTCAAAAGTAGCAATGCATCTAGTACTGACTCTCTTTCAGGAGGTATTACAGCTGATGGCAATCAAGATAATAATAAAGGTGCAAGGGTAAAAGATGGCTCAAAACTACTCCAGTTCAACCAGAATGGAATAACCAAAGCAAATCTTTGTGAAATCCAAAGGARTCAAGAGGAAAACGATAGCAATGGGTCTGTCAAAGTGAGGGAGAACTTCTCCAGCCCTAAAAGTGGTCTTAGTGGTTCAAAAAGGTGTGATTCTCCTGACCATGCGACCTCGATCAGTGATCACGAGAATGAAGATTCAGATGATTCTATAGAAGCCAAGGCTGGAAGCAGCCCCACTCCAAAGCTTTTAATCCCACGGTCAATCTGGTCGAAACTACCCGAAAATAATCCAAGCAAGGAGAATCGTGATAAAATTCCCTCTGATTCTAATAATGAAGCACTCAAGGAACTTGCAAGTGACAAGACAGGAGAGCAGGGTTCGGATGAAATTTCCGAAATGAACAATGATGCGTTTACTGCATTGTTCGATTCAGATAATGATGATGACAAATCTTTCGATGGTTTTGATGTCCCCCATTTTGAGGGTTCAAAGTCTTCAGAGCCGGATTTGACATACCACATCAAGAGGATCGTTGAATACTATACTGAAAGCCAGGATGACACTCTTGTCAATACCACTAACGAGGAAATAGACGATAAAGATCAGGATGAAAGAAGTGGACCTGCTGATGGCACAGAAAAACGGACGAAGAAAAAGAAACGCCAGCCACATGGGATCAAGATTATTCTGAGTTCCAGGACAGATGATGGTGATGACGATGTGTTTGAAGATAGCAGTGATGATGATGATGATGATGATGATGACGAAGGGGATAGTGACTACAATGATTCAAGTAGTACTGTAGCAGACAGCAGTGATGGCGAGGGAGACGAATTGTTGACATCCTCTGCGTTATGCATGGATTCGTTCTCGTACAAGAGAAAATCTTGGAACCTAGATAATGATGAAATAGGAATTCAACTACCGCCAAAGAGGAGACGTACAACAACTGACGAGAGTTCGTCCACTCACTCGGCAGAGGATAGCGAAACGGCTGGCGATTGTGATGTGGAATGCAGACGCAGAACCAGAGCTTCCACAAGATTATCAAGTAACAAAGAAAAGTCAGTAAGTCACAAAAATGGTAATGTTGATGTGGAGGAGAYTTCTGTGGACACAGATATCAGAGAGAGGAGGCGAAGCGTCAGAACTTCTACAAGGCTGTCAAGTGAGAAAGAAAATTCAATAGATAACAAAAGAAATAGCCATGCCTGCATGAAGGACGATTCTCTGGAAAATGGTATCAGAGAGACGAGAAAAAACGCCAGAAGTTCTCGAATAACATCCAAATCTGATAAAAAGATAGAAAATCGTCAAGATGATGATGAAAATTTCACGAATGAAAATGTATCCCAAAAAGAATGCAGCAAAAATACAAGCCGGAAAACAAGGGCATCCTCAAGGATTTCAAACTCCACAGAAAATAGTTCAGATATAGGTAAAGAAAATTGCGCTGACAACATTGAGGTTGATTCTGAATACGATAGGAGCAAAAATACAAGACGTAAGACCAGAGCTATGGGGATGTCAAACGCAGAGGAAAAGAAAATCAATTCTGATGGCCGTAACCTGGAAAAGGAAAATAGGAATAAAGAGACAAGGCGCAAGACCAGATTTTCTGAAAGAGCATCATCTGAAAGTTCATCTCATGACAGTAAAGATTTTCATGGAAATGAAGAGCCCGGCAGACGCAAAACCAGACCATCTAAAGGCTTATCAACTACGAAGGAGTTAGTAGTAGACCATATAAAAGAACATTCCGAGAGTGACGATTCATGTTCAAAACGTGTAACTAGGAGCCAAGGAGACGCAGCAGAAGACCGTCAGATAAAAAATAAAAACAAGATCACAATTGAAAAGAAAGAAGACACGAAACAAAGACCTGCAGATAATGAAGTTTCACCTAGCAAATCAAAAACTAATGATGTCGGAAATAATGATTCACTATCTTCTTCAGTTTTGGATGACAACAGTTGGACCTCTGATAGCTCTTTCTTTAAAGGCCTTCCACAAGAAGTTCTCGAATGTTTATCTGTTCATATGTCTATTGAAGAAAGAGTCAAGTTGCGCCGTACAAAAAATAGAATAAATTCAGAGCCATCGCCAATACGTCGAAATGCTAATGAAAGAAGAAGAAAAGATTCAAATGAAAAGAGCGACATTCAAATAGTTATTACTGATTCTAAAAGAGCACAAAGCAAGAAAGACGAAATTAAAACAGGATCTACCAACATGGCTAGAGTTCACAACACCCCAAGGTCGAGGTCTCGAAGCCTTAACCAGGACGTAGAGAACTCTAGGAATTTGACTAAGTCAAAGACCGGGGGCGCAGTGTTCTTACCCTCTCCACCACAGAGGAAACCATTGCGTAGTGCATCGTCATCACTAGACACTTCACCTATCACTACTCCAATTCGGACAAACAAACACTGGATATTTGATCCTGGGCATTTTTCATCATCAACTCCTCAACCATTAAGAAAGCTAAAGTCAAAAACAAGCCCTAAGCAAACTGAAAGCAAACTCATGTCTACAAGGGCATTGCGTAATACAAACAAATGCCTAATGGCTGGGGACAGTTATGAGTTTAGGAATGAAGATGTTTATGCGTTTGATGATTGAAGAATCCAGCTGCAAACTTGATCAAAAATTAGTGAAATTGTTTTTTGGTGCTTGGGGTGTACTCTCGCCTGTCCAGCGACACTACTCATATTTTATCGCTATAGTTGATTCGAACCGTCTTGAAGTCAAACGGTAGCTGAAAAACAGTAGGCCGTCTTATCCCAGCTCGTTACTGCAGAGAACTTCATTGCTAATCCAACCGCCTATAGCTAACTACAATTAGCTGATCATTCGATTCAACGGAGTGACAAAAGTATCTAGATTTCATTTATTTATCAATTGACACGGTTCTCTTTGTTATTCACAACGCTTTTTTTTTTTTGTTATAACCTTCATTATAGATGCGAGGTCAATATGTAGTTATTAACCCGGTTAATAACTATACATTGACCGCCCGCATTTTTAATGAGTAATTCAGTTTTATAATGAGCAATTCATTAGCCCCGCTCATGCAGGTTATTTTTTTATTTTTATCTTTTTTTATTTATTTTTGTTATTTTTAAGTCAAATATACAAACATTTGATAGAAAACCTTCTCAATTGATAAATAAAATACTTAATTACCTCAAACGTCGGCAATAAGCCTATACATCCTATACATGCATATGGCTTATTGCCTCCGTTCTCGGTAATTAACTCTTACTTACAGGAAGAACTGAAATAGCATCATCTTGTCCCAGCTGCATACATAAATCTGAAACACCTGAGTGATGATTATAATCAGCTGATTAACAGCTTATCCACATTGGGCGGAACAAGTGTATCCATCCATTTCACCTATACACTGTTACTGAAATGTCATCCCTCTCTTTCGGCCAGTAACAAACTGGAATACCTGGTGTTACATCTACGCAATGAAAAACAAAATCAGTCATCAAATGCAAATCAAAATCAGTTACTTTAGTATCATTTCATCAAAATTTGGGACAAAAAATCCATTCTTTGCACCAACACAGAACTGTAATACCTGATGTTACATCTACGCAATAGAAATCAAAATCTCTTATCATCTCATCCGCCAAGTTTGGAACAAAATATCCATTCTTTTATAACACTTTAGTCATCCATACAAGGAAACGGAACTTTTGGCAATATAGGTAACCCCGAAATCTACCATCCGTCTCAGTTGATAAAAAATGTATTTAAAGCAACGCACCTCAAATGAATAACACTACTAAAAATAAAACAAATGAAGCTATTTTTGAAATGTGGTACCATGTCCTTCAAATTTATTCTCTTCAAACCCGTGTTTATGAGGTGACAGTCGGGAATCCTGGCTCATGATTTCGGACGAGGCTTCTTGGTTTATATGAAGGTAGAATGACCCTTGTGCGATGACAAACTTTTCTGTTTGTGGGTGTCGCTGGTGAAGGAAAACAAAACGCTTGTCACAACCACCTGGGCCGACATACTTTTAAGTAAACTCAATTTCAATCGTATTAGACGTACTAAAATTCCTCCAGTTTTGCTGGTGGTAGCTTAAAGTCAGCTCGCGTATCCGGATATTTTGAATCCACAAATTTTCCGTTCCGGAATGGCATCTGCTCCAAATGTGTACGGTGATTTGTTTTATGTGAGTATGGACGGTGAAATCCGTAACTGGAAAGTTAAGGAATTAAAAAATATCCGCATAGATGTGCCTAATTTGCACAACATTGATTGACCACTGAGATTACACCATTAAAAATACACATTCAATATTTATATTTTTCTGAGAATAAAATAAACTATTATAGTATAGCAGCCCCTCTGGAGGTATTGTCAACTTACTCTATATCAATTTCCCACCCATTTCCAAGAAATAAAACGGAAAATCTCAATTTTATTCTTATTTTTAATTATTTTTATCATAATATTTTACGAGAGTGATGCAGTGGAATAAAATGGGATTTTAATATAATTAAAGTTAGTTTTTGTCCCAACAAAGCAAAATAGACCATTTTACCTCGAGCGTAATGTTTTCTCATTTCATACCATGTGTCGTTCCCTTAGAGTATTATTTCTTTGATTAACAGTTGCGCATGAGAAGGCACATACAACTCAAACAAAGAAATAATACTCTAGGGAATGGCACATGGTCTGAAATGAGAAAACATTACACCGAGGTAAAGAGGTCCAATAAAGTGTGGCACTGAAACGTGGTGTTACAGCTCGAAGGAATTCCAGACTGTCTGATCAGGAAGCTCTGCCATAGTTAATGGAGCGGAATGGTTTGGAAACTCCATAGAACAAAGCTATTGTTTTGCGTTTGATGTTGAACCGTACCATCACGTGATACTGAGGGTGCACAATGAACCAAAGTAAGCGTGGCTGAAAATACTCATTTCCTTATTATTTTCATGTATGAACATTTTGATAAATATTTCCGCGCAGATACAGTTAAGTTACTAGATGACAAATAAGAAAGCATGAAAAAAGACAATTTCCTTTTTAAATAGACAATTTATATTAATCGTATAGGATTAATTAGCAAATGATAATTATTTTAGACCGTTTTTTAGGGTTAAAACTTCTATATTCCCAAATACTATGAATAAACGGAGCAAATTTTCCTTTTCTGTGCACCGTCGACGTCATACACTTATTTCAATAAAGTTAGTCACCAAAAAACCTAGAAAGCTGAGATCACTGAGAATCATGGGAATTTTTTAATATCAAACAAGTAAAGCTTTTGATACGATTTGCAGCTTTAGGATGCTCAGAAGAGGTGAGACTGTAACTGCTAAAAGATCTAAAATCCCTCAATAGTTATTAAAGCAGTTGAAACATGTTAAATGTATCTACCCATAATCCTTGCAGGTCTCAGCTTTGTAGTTTTTCAGGTGACTAACTTTATTGAAATAAGTGTATGACAAAGGGTAAAGTCGAACAAAAACATAGAACAAAGGGTTTCCCAACCATTCGGCTCCATTAACTATGGCTCGGCCAAAGGTTAAGGGAGAGCCGTTGGTAGGCCCCTAGATCGTAGATGATTAATTCCTTGCTATGACTAGCAAACCTTAAATAGAATATTTAACCAAAAAGTTAAAGTTTACGATATGTCAAAATAAGGTGCGTGTTTTGTGTCAATCGATAATAGGGGGGAAATATCCCTTACGAAGTTACATATTGAAGATGAATAGAATATGTTGCAATCGAAACGATAATTTGGAAAACGACTGATATCACCAATGTAAAAATTAAGGTCTAATGGCGGAAGAGGGATAATTCCTAAATCTATCTCGAGAGAATGACTTATGGTAACCCTCATCCTACGGACCTTACATAATATAGTTCGTTTGAGTATTTATATGAGGAATTCAGACAGTGGTTTTCCCATGTGGGATTAAAATGAGTAGATTGTAATACATGCGCATCAGTGGTACTGTTTGGGCTACCTTTAGCAATGCTTCTGTTTTTGCTGATTCGACTGATTTACATACTCTTTACCGTCTGAGTCACGCATGACTCATATCATAACAATTATAGTTAAAAATCGTCTCTTTGGCTTTACTTTATTAGAATTTCATTCTATTAAACGATGACTTGTTCAGTACGTTTACGGCCGTAGGAGGAAAAATTATTGAAATAGTGCATTTGGCGTGTTTTGTGTCAATTGATAATATCCCTTACGAGTTTACGAATTGAAGACTTGATTATGTTGATGAGAATTGAAAAATATGTTGAAAACAATCGATCACGAACTTAAAATGTAAGGTCGAGTGCTGGAAGAGGGATGTGGGGTAAATCTATCTCTGGAGACTGACTTATCGGTAACCCTCATCCTCCGGACCTTGGTATATTACAGTTCGATTGAGTACTTATATGAGGAATACAGACAGTGCTTCTCCCATGTGGGATTAGTATAAGTAAAATTGTACTTTTAATCATCGTTTCAATCATGCGCATCAGCGACATGCTTGTCATTGCGGCATTTTGACAAAAGGGGGATTTTGGGCTGCCTGTGGCGAAACTGGAACGTAATTTTTGGAAATAGAGCTCGAATAGTTCAACAGAACATTGTCTAGCATTTTCTATGACAAGTAAAAAAGGAGGTATTTGAATTTGTGGGTCTAATATTCTTCATCCAAGGCCCAAATCCTGTATTTTGTTCACGCATGCTCGACTATTTGGGCCAATAAGCATTGGGCTAGAAACGAGGGTTAGAGCTTTTGTTTTGCAGAGTATTGTTTAGTTCCAAATTCATTACCTTGGCTATTGTTCATCTGTCATTCCATGACGTGCCATGAATATTTAATTCCACAATTTAATTCCTTACTTTTGCAACTGGCAAAATATAAACACAGAGAACCTTAAATCTTGAAATATGAYCATGATTTTTGTTGTTGTTCTTGTTGCGTGCTGTAGCAACGTCAACGTACCTAAAAGATTCTTAGATTTGGCTATCACGATGAATCGAAGGGAAATACTGATATGTCTTCACCTCGTCAATTATGTATACGGGCATCGATGACACATCTAAAAATATGTTCAAATTAGCATTTTCCTTTTAAGTGGTCCTAGAGTGAMTGTTATATATTGTTCATCATCAGTTAGGCATGCGCATTTATTGAGGAGTACTGAGTGATTTATCCTACGAAATCCCACACGTTAAAACCATGGTGAATATTCCTCATATAAATACTCAAATGAATCCATGCTACATTAAGGTCCGGAGGATGAGGGTTATCGACTCGCTTACTCGATTTCCCTTTGGGAATTCCGCCCTCATCCATCACATGACCTTATTTTTGCGAAATACATTCCGATGAAAGTCTAAAAAAAATTTCGATTTTTATGTGGAGTATGGATGTTTAGGAGTACATATTATTTTTTTTCATGCTGGATTAATCTGCCTAGTCTTCCATGACATGAATAAACTCCAGTCCTTTCGCTAGCCATTAAAGAAATATAAAGCTTTTGGAACTTATCTTTAATACCCTCCCAAATTGTGATATATTAGACTAAAGTGGTCTAAAATCTTATCGAGAGCAGAAAAGTCTTACCACTGGGAACCCAAATATATCGAGTATTAAGAGATATGAAAAATAATATGAGACGAACGGTTGACAGATAGTAAATATTATTAATTTGCTCACGCGTCTCAGATCTTCTACATTTATCCAAGTCTTTCCATACCGGTAAATATTATTTCCTCAACTGTACTCGATCACTGAAAACTATTGAGTTAGTTCTTCCATAGTTAATATTAGTTAATATTAGGAAGGCACTTTGTAAACCAGTCTATGACTGAAAGTTTAAACTTTCGTTAAATAAAGCTTTTATTATTATTATTATTATTATTATTATTATTATTATTATTATTATTATTATTATTANTTTACTAATTAGTATCTTTTAATCAGTTTTTTAGTTTTATGATTGTAATCACGTTAATGATATGTATTTTATCATTTCTTTAATAAAGACATTATTATTATTATTATTATTATTATTATTATTATTATTATTATTAACTATGGTTCTTCAGAGTCTCAGAGTCTGTTGAGAATTATTCTGGGCATTTCAAATTTTCACCTACCCCCCCCCCCCCCCCCCCCCCCCAATCCCTCTCTCTCTCTCTCTGCCATACATTATGAACGCAGCCTTAGCGACGCATGCGTCATGGATAATACTGAACAGACCACAACAAAATCAGTACCATTGCGAATGTATAACCTCGTATAACCATGAATTATGCCTAACTTTGATCAGTTTTTTCGTCAATTAGAGGATTTCGGTACAAAGTTTAAATATTCCGGTTTTGAAAAAGATCACCGTTTGCATTGGTTCCGAAGTTATGATTTTTTAAATGAACATTTTTGATGGCATAAAAAGGGTTTTGATGTTGTCATAGTAACGTCTTACGTTATTTTTTCATGTTCATTGTGATATTTGGTTTTCCTTGTTTACTTGCTTGGTTTACTTCGATGTGGTCATCGCCGGGAAACCATGCAGTCTTTGTGTTCCTGGGTAATCGATTCTCTCGTCCATACTCTTGACCTTATCTTTTTCGCGCTGCTAAATATGACGAGCAAAGGCTCAAAATCATCGAATGTCATCGAGCCTCCCATATGTAGTTCAAGGGCTTGCATGCATGGCAAAGGAGGAACCACTAGTATCCCAAGTGCCCCTGCACGCTTATTGTTGTTTTCTTTGGCTTTAACCGCTTTATTTGATTTTTTTTTTGCAATGATACTTCATGTCTGATCACAGGCTAACCACTCTAATAAATGAAGGAAATACTAAATGGTGTCTTGGATTTTTTGTCATCTCCCCTACCCCCCTTGGTAACAATTTTGTTTTTCTACTATACAAGATAGTATATTGTGTAGTAAAAAAACAAAATTGTTTCCAAGGGGGGTAGGGGAGATGACAAAAAAATCCAAGACACCATTTAGTATTTCCTTCATTTATTAGAGGGGTTAGCCTGTGGTCTGATTAATTTGGCAAATAAAATTAGCCAGTTGTAGGATTTTTACTGAGCCTGAAATTTACTCAAAAAGTATTTCAGTATTTTACGATTTCTCTTGAAGAATTTAGAAATTATAGATAGTGTTAAAAAGTGGGACATACACTCTACTTAAGTACAATTGCTTTTTCAATTTCGAAAATATTAATTCTAGCTGTTTAAATAGTAAAACGTTATATTTCACTCGCGATGCATTCTGGGATACTAGGAATCCATCAAAAAAATAAAAAAAKAAAAAAAAGAAAGAAAGAAAAAAAGAAACTTCCGACTGAGCTTTCGACGTTGCACTCAGTTCGCTTATCTTCATTTTCCTGTCCCTAATTTTCGAGATCATTTTTTTAAATGACAYAAACCGTATGCAAATATTGTAAAAACATATACATCTATATGGTCATAAAATAATTGGGATACTACGCGTCCTATGATTGGTCGAAAACCATGTTTAACGAGAGTATCAAAACACGCTTTCGACATTTACTGTCAGGTCTTAATCTATCGCGCGCGCTCATTGGTCAGTTTGAATAAGACGGTACGTAGGGAGAATTTACTTATACTTTGCTTTTTTTTCGATCTTTTCGCACGTTTGTTATTTTATAAAACAAATAAAATTACAGTTTTCCGTATTTGATACTTTGATCAAAACACTTGGGACGTTGGGAGAACACTCGAGAAGCTAGAAACCACGCCGCTACGCGTCGTGGTTTCCTACGCTCCTCTCGTGTTCTCTCAACATCCCGCCTGTTTTCATCAGAGTATACTGATATCAAACACGGAAAACTGTTTTTGATCTGTTAAATAATCATAAAATAATATAAGAAAAGGATAAAAATAATAAAATTTATGTCAATAAAAGAAGAAGAAAATATTCTTTTGAATGAAAATAGAAAATAATGCTTCAAAAGTAGTTTGTGAGGTCAAGGGACGGCCGAGGGGGTAATCTAACTTCAATGATAACCCTCGTCCAACGGACCTCGAACCTTATAAGGACAGGTTCAGTATTTATATGAGGAAAACGAAGCTTAGTTTTCCATCTGGGATGCAACTTGTAACCTGAAAACAGAAGCGCATGCTCAAACGATGACGATTCGTGAAATACCTTCAGTATCAAAGAGGCGAGCAGCTTCGCACATTTTACATTTCTCTTTACTAGAGACTCATATACCGGCTAATCGATCGAAACATTAAAATGATTTAGGTTTAAAAAAATATTTTCGCGGAGAAGGATACTCGGATTTCCAAATTGAAGATGATATAAATTGTCGTACTGCTTTGAGGCTTTCGCGTTCAGACATGATATTATTTTAAAAAGCCGAAACGTCATGTTCTCAAAGAATCTACGCGTTTTATCCGTAATCTTACATTTAAGATTTTCCCTGATTGGAAACGAAAGACTCCTAAACTTTTACTTATCTATGAAATACTATTTCAGACGTGTCGCCAAGGATAGCATTTCGCTGTAGCATATTTAGAGTCTTTATTAAAAAATCCAAAAGGTAAGGTCAAGTTCGTGGCTGAGGGAAATGCAAATAATCTACGAATAGRTCAAACTCATGAAGATAACCCTCTACCGCCGGACCTTAATATATATAGCGACCATCGAATATTTATATAACTAAATTAAAGTAGATTTTTACGTGTGGGATGTATAGTCGATCTAAGCATATACGCAAGCTCGAGAGATATTCTCTTTAAATCGTGACTGGACATTTACACATTCTTCCTAAATGATATTTAATCTCTAAATCGTGCAGGAAATTGAAATTTTCGTTGTTGGTAAACACATAGCCCGTGAGCGTTTTGCTATTTGGAACGCATGCGCAGGAGAACATTTTCGTGTCAAGCAAAAATTGGACTGGTTTATTGATACAAGATTTATAGTAAACTGTTAAACTTTTTTTTTTCGAACATATGCATGAAGTATAATGCAAGCCAGTCAGTGGAAGGTCAGTAAAAATATTTACTACTTATTTTTTGGGGGGGTAGGAGTGGGGTGGTATCGGCTTAGGTCCAACTTGGGCAAGATTTTGTTATATTGCGCCTGCAGTACGTACAGCGGTACTTACCTTTATTATAATTTGGCTCCTTACACTCGCCATGTTTGGTTCTGTGTTGGAAAAGTTTCGTTCATCACCGAATAAAAACGAGCCAAAACCCATAAATACCGAGGAAAATAAGTCAAGGAAAAGGTAATGGAACTCTTGTCTAGTTTAGTAGCAAATTATTTTTTCTAAATATGTATTTTTGGGGKTTTTTTTGACGTCTAAGTTTTGCATGCTTGACATTTGGATATTATAACTTAACTCTTATAACTAGGCAAGCTTATTAACTTATTTATTTTGTGGGTTTGAAAAAAATACTAAAATGATTCTTTAGCTGTTTAGAATTTGCTAAAATCCCTCGCCGGATTCCAGTACAGTATGTAGGGCAGCAGTTTACACTTAATGTTTTGAAAAAAGATATTTTAAACACTGTATTATAGCTTACAGTACTTGTTAGAATAGTATTTGCACTATAAATGCACATGTACTTAAAGAATTGCAATTTTAAGCTATAACTTATAGCCTTGAAACGTTTTTAAATATTATTTTTGAATATTATTATAATATTTGATGTCATGGTTTGTTATTTAAAAGGGAATAAGAGAGAGTGATTATCAAATGAAGGGTGTTACAGTTACATGTACTGTGAAATACATAATACTGTTATATTTAACTATATAGTATCTCTCTAATTCCAACTTGTTCATCCTCTAACAATTATAAACGCGTAAATAACAGTTTGAATGTGTACTGTGTAAGAAAACATTTGAATTTTTCAATTGCACATTAGGTCATCGCGACCTCTTGGGGGTGCTTTGGTGCTATTTAACAAAATACATGTATTTCTCATTAGCATCCATTGTTAATGGCATGAAAATAGCCGCCATGTTTTTGTCTTTTAACTGTCTTGGTAATGTTTGCAACCCATTAATTCTAGTTGAATTCTAGATTCAGGTTGTCTGTGATGACGATAGAGCTTTCCCTCTTTTATATACATGTATAAGAAGTGATCAGTATTTAAAAAAATAATAAATTCAATAGTCTTATTCCTTTGATCATGGCAAATCAGTAAAGTTTGTAGGAGTTTTTCTGGTTTGTACATATACCCAATTCAAATTACATTTAGTATTGTTTACAGTGAGAACACTTGAACCGTGATGTTCACTTCAAGTTTTTTGTCACTTTTTCAAACTGCATACTGTAGACCATAACTTAAGCTAATTGATTGAAAATAAGTTTTATTTTGATCACTCGGTAAACTCAATGCTTCATTTTACAGGGTTTGAAAAAGTAGAAAAGTCAGAAAATAATAACATGGAAATTCAAGTGTCAAAAAAGTGTTTATGGATTAAGTGTCCTTCCTGTAAAAAGCAGTATATTTTTTGTGCTACCACAATACAGTGTAGCAGGAGTTCACAGGAGTTTTTGCAGACTGTCTGTCCATTCCAAATTTCATATTTTCAAATTTTAAATGTTTTTAATTTCAAATTTCAAATTTTTTAGGGAGGTTGTTGTTGAAGATCAAGCAACGGATGTTCTACAGACACCTCCTTACAAAAGATCAAGAAATACGGGTAAAATGCTATTTTGTTTGTCTTTTGTTGCATATAAACTGTTGTGCCGACATATACTGTACAGAGTTCATTTGATACGTATTCTCACTTGCCTTGAAGGTTTTTCTCTGGTAATTGAGTGACCCAATTTGTACCTGTCCCTACATGAGACCAATGATTGAGAGTTGTATACTTTAAGAATATTAAATATAGTGGTAGTGAGTGTGGAATTTTTACATTGTGATGATGACCTTCAGTTATCATCACATTCTTCATCGCATTCTTCTTCCGGTTGTGTGAAGGTCTTCGTATTGACGTACAAATTGAGTTAAAATAACCACCAGGACATCCCCAAGGTAATCAGAACCACTACATGTAAATATAAGCAACCAGCAGAAAGGAGGCTTCAGAAACATGAATGCATGGAGTATGTTGTATATTATATACTGTCTTAAATGTCAACCTCTGACTAGGGAAGCTCRGCGATGACCCACTCTATTATGATGTAAAATAAACACAAATAACTCCTAGATTCAAATTAAAATTGAGGTTGTAAGGTTAGGGAGTAAAACCAGAGAACCTGGAGAAAAACCTTCAATTCAAGGAAGAGACCAAACCAACTCAGAATCTGATACCCCATAGGGGAGAGGTGTTATACTTAAACACTGCACCACACTTGATTTCCAAAGATTCATATATAACTTATAAAAAATATCTATAACTTAGAACAAACAGTATACCAGTATATTGACTGTCTAATGTTGGTCTAAGGTTACCAGGTCCTCGGCAAAGTATACAGTACAGGCCATTAATGTAATACCATTTTATATAGACAAACAAGTTAAAAGTTATATTTGCACTTTTGAACTTTTTCATTTTGACACAAATTTATGTCGAGCAGCAAATATTTCTCATGGTGTAATGTTTCACGATGAATCGACATAAATTTATGTCAATCAATAAAATTCAAAAGCAGAAGTGCAAAAGTGCAAAATATATAACTTCTAGCTTGTTATATTACTGCAATTTTCATGCACATGCAAACTCTTTGTCTGCGAGCTGCATTCTGAAATTTGGTTTTTCGCTGCTGCCAGTCACAAATGTGAAAGGTACATGTACGAACTGGTTAGATTTGATTGATGGCATCAAAAAACCAAACTTAGCGTGCAGCTCGCAGACACAGAGTTCGCATGTTTGTGAAAATCGCAGTAATATTTTTTTTTATTTGAAGGTGATCCTGGTCCAATCACTTTCTTCAGTGATTTGTTAACAAATGCAATGAGCTTTACTCGCAAGTATAACCCATTCTGGAGATATGTTGTTGGGAAACAAAACGAAGATGAGCCAAAAACAATAGCTACTATTGATCTTGAAGCTGAAAATAATGATGGTAAAAAGATCAAGAGTAGTTCCACAGACCAGGATGTTGTGTACTTGGGGACTTTATTGAGAGAGGATGTTATTAGTGGCGACAAGCAAAGAGTTAGATACACAGCAACTAGACAGGCAAAGGTAATTTAACAATCAGGTTGTGTATTAGGGGCCGATCATTGTTTATTGCCTTGGGGGGGGGGGAGTGGTAGAATATTTACGGGGCTCACTCTTGGTTTTTAGACAACTGGAGGGGGCCAGATCATATATACATTGACAGGGGTRGGTCACTTCCTAGTAACCAATAATAAGGGAAGGTTATAAAAAAGAGGGATAGTACTGCTACAAAACTCCTCTCCCCCCTCCCTCCCCTAGGCATTGAATGATTACACTGGTCCCTTAATACCAATAATTGTAAGTTGTACATTTTATAGAATGACCATAACCCCTCCTCCACTTCCGTAATCTCCTCCTATTCTTATCCCTCACTACCAATTTGTCAGGAGTTTGAAGGACAGATTAAAAGCCATTGCAATCATTTTACCATAACCTACATATTATATAGGATATCCATAACTTTTCCTCCTCCTCCTCTGTGCTCGTCCTCCCGACCCCCCCCCCCCCCCCTTTTTCATGAATACTTACCAAATAAGCAAACAAGTGTGATTTTTATTCAATGTCATTGAGTTAAGAAGGAGGATTAAAAAGCATTGCAATCATTTTACAATAACTTACATATATAGGATATCCATAAACCTTCCCTTGTCCTCTGTGCTTGTCTCTCCCCCCCTCCCAATATTTTTCATTAATACTTACAAAATAAGTGTGGTTTATTCTATGTCTTTGAGTTAATTACTCAGAACACGTTTTGTTAACATGTACTATAGGAAAAAGAGTCTGAACAATCAAAACCAAGCAGTTTAAGTGATTCTATCAGAGGTCGAAAGCCATTGCACATCAGTAGAATGGAAAAGGCACCATCCTTCTCGTATATGCATCAATCCACCCCTCTACAACCAGATGAACAAGTTAGAGGTCGTATACCAGTATTTGCTATACCTGATGAACCATCTCCTCTCCCTTTGCCGCAAAGTGATTGGAAACACAAGACTTACAGTGGTACTGTGTAATTAACTTTAATATATTTTAAGATTAAGTTGTCGCTTGAGAATTTTGTCTATTTATTTATTTATTTATTCTATTCTTTTTATTAATTGAATTATTAAGTCATAAACAATTGTTACAATAAACAAAAACAAAAAAGCAAAAAAAAAAAAAAAAAAAACCGAAAAGGGAAACTCATAATGGTCATGTTAAATCTTAATGTATTGCTTCTAGTTCCATTAATTTTCTTTATTTTCTTTCACAGCCAAAAACTATGGAGGGATAAAAGAAAATAAAACCAGTCATCCTGTCTATCAAAGAGCGCCAGAAGGTCCCAAACCTTTAACTAATCAGCAGAAGTCCTCCTTATTGACTGAAAATAAAGCTTTTGTGAATAGCTTTAATGTCAGCCAGAAACCAACAGCTTCTAGTCTACAGGGAAAAATCAGAGTGAGACAAATAAGAGAGTCTCCTAGGAAACCAGCACCTTTGCGTAGACAGAGGAATACAGCCATCGATGTGAGTATTTTGAATGAGTCATCACTTATTGATTGTGTCTGTGATCATACTTAGTAACGTGCATCAAGTTCAGCCAGGGTTCCTAACATTTTAAATAATACTCTGATAATAATTATAATATAAATACAACCACAACTCCATGTGATTTGGTTGATAATGATAATGATTTGATGTATATTATATATATTGTAGGTTATAAGACTGGCAGAAAAGGAACGCTACAAGCAGCTTCTTTCACAGTTTACATCTGCCTGTATTCCTAGTTCCAATATGAATGACACAACATTAGACAGTAACAAAGAGAACTCGGTCATTAATATATCAAGTAATTCCTCTGCATCTGAGAATAGTATTTTTGCTGCCAAGCCTACAGAAATACATATAAGACAGCCAAGGTTAGTAGGTTTTGGTTGTGATGCACTATATTAGAGACCTTTAATGTATTTCAACCTGCTATTCTGAGCCCTACTGTAGGTTGGCATCAGTTTGCTGTTGTTACACGTAGTTGTTAAGGTTTCAATTGGATGACCAACAATTTCAACTGTCATGTGTCTTTAGGTCATTCGAGGGAAGTGTCCTGTCTCCAAGGTCCAGATTACTCCCTAGACATCAAACGGCTCATCACAGCACACCATTATCTCCAGTCTCACATCCAACCATACTCAAGGTCATTCCTTCAACTAGCAAGAGTCACACTAGAAATGAACATGTAGAAGACTTGCTACTCCACTCCAAGCAAGGTTAGCTCTATCTTATGCTCTAATTATTAACTTTATAACTTGACTCTGAAGATGACTTCCATTCAGGTTGTTGTTACTTCAGTCACCACAAACAACAGTCTTTCTAAAGACAAACCAACTCACCCAGACCAGGGGCAGATACAAGGGTGTCTCTAGGTATACCCCACCCCCTAAGCCGCTGTCTTTTTCCTGTACATGATGCAGTAATTCTATTAGTCTTCTTTTTACTTATGATTACTGTTACTAGAATCATTAGTCTGACTCAAGATTAAATTGCATTATTTAGATGAAATCTAAAAATCAATCTAAGAATAAATTAAATAAGTCAGATCAGGATTATTGATGACATCACTGTATCATCACTCTTTTATTTCGGACACCTCCCTTGCAAATTTCTGGAAACCCTCCTGCAGACAATGAACACACTCAACGACGAATTATTGTGAATAAAACAATCCATACTGTACATTTAGTGGTTGGCTGCTGTACAGCTGTACCATACAGCAGAGGTGGTGGAGTGCTAAAAATGCAGCAGTGTCTGATCAAAAAATTCCTTTTTCTGCCTGATAACTTTCTCCTAAAGCTTCTCTAGGAAACAGCACTTAAATTATTTTATGCCAAAAGACTGAAAGATCAAAAGTAGTGACTCTTTTTACCTTGTCTACACAGTACAGTGAAGATTATCCAATGTCTTGTGCCTTAAGGTGGCTCGACCCCCTCACGCTTGACCGCTACCTTCCACTTTTGGAACGCTAGTGCATAAACGTCTTTTATCCAATTGCAAATCTTTTTTGCATATAAGTCACATAAAGATTGAATTAATGTTTGATGCAATTTTTAGTGAGATCGGACGTCATAACACTTGATTATAATGAAATATTTGTTTTCGTTTAGAAAATAAATTTAGCCTTGCAGAGCGTTCAACACTAAAATGCTTCGTACCACATAATTATATACTAGATGCCTCCCTTTGTGGGGATTTTTGAAAAAATCTATCTAGCTAATAATGAGATATTTGAGATTATTTAAATATAGTGCATAATCTACTTCAAAACTAAACAATGGATTTCATACGGCCGAAATTAATATTTCAGAGCTATATATTTACAAAAGTTATTGCTCATTTAGTTTTACTCTGTATCTAGTTTTAAAAGGAACATTTTGAAGGTAATCGATTTATGCGATTTCGTGAAAACGTATAGTGCAGAAGACRGGGTAAACATTTGATGCGCACTTTTCATCACAGTTTTCTAGACAATCTTACTAGATCTTCCATTATTYTAAAATTCGCTGATCATTTCTCTCAAAATTACATCAGGATACAAAAAAAAACTGTTTGTTACCAAACTTCGGGGGTAAATCGGAAAGCAGCCAAGCGAGATGAGACCGTGCATGGTGCAAAAGAATTTGATTTTATGATCATTAGCAAACAATAGAATTCCCAGAGCATCAAATCGTTGAACGATCAATGTTTTCTGTATTTCTCGTTCGCTTTAGATCGCTTTAAATGAGTTCAATAATCTTGCAATTTTGTGTAATATTAGTTTAAGTTCAAATTTGTATCCTGACATAATTTTGAGAGAAATGATCAGCGGATTTTAGAATAATGGAAGATCTAGTAAGATTGACTAGAAAACTGCGATGAAAAGTGCGCATCAAATGTTTACCCCGTCTTCTGCACTATACGTTT